CCCCCAAAAAAAAAAACGCTTCAGTTTTTTCTGGCTTCCACGGTCTACTGTGCTCTTTTCGTTATTGTGCTATTCTCCTTTGAGACCTACTTCTTTGGAGAAAATCAGCAGAAACTGTTCGTCCCGAAACTTTCTCTAAACTTTCCTGTCATTCTCACAGACTAATACTAGCACTATAGGAAGCGATATATCCACTATATTATGATAGTCCCAGCGAGAGAAAAAAATCTGACTCAAGAAACTGCCCCAAATTGCTTTTAATAAGAAAATGTAGCGTTGAGTTGACAGTAACAGTTACTGTGCGCGCTCTACCCCCTGCACACTCTTTCCCTTCCCTCACCTTCGACCCGGTCTTTCTCTTTGCCTCAGCCATGGTTTCTGCGATGGATTTCCAGAAATTTTCTTTTTTGAAGATATGTTTCCATTCCTCGTCAGAACTCTAAACAAACTACCAACTAAGCGTTTGTGTTTGTGTGTGAGAGAGAGAGTGTTTGTGAGAGTAGGTGAGTGAGAGATCTCCCTCTCCCTCTCCCTCTCCCTCCTCCTCCCACTTCAGACCGCCATATCCTCGGTTCACTGTGTGGGTTTGGCTTGCACTGTTTGAACCCTCCTGCTTCTAGTCACATAACAAGTTTAGTCGTCCTCTCAAACTAACTCTCTCCCTCTTCTCTGAACGCAATCTACTGTTAGCGGTTATACCAGACCCCTGCACATATTACATATGCTTATGTATATATTTTTATATCTGTAGCGTTGGCATCACTCGTACCTATTCCCAGTCCTGTGTATTCATAGTGTCAGAATCATAGCTGATGTCGCCAACAGAACTCAAATTGTATGCTATAGTGTCATGGCTTCATCATACCCCTTCCATTCTTACAGTCTATCAAGCACATAGCGAAAAACACTCTTACAGTGAACAAACATTTCAAGTCCCTGAATTGTTTTCTTTAACATATATATATTCTTTGTATTTAATAATTAGAACATGTTCACAATGAAAAGATTTCCCAAAGTCCATTTCGATTTCGCTATGTGTCCGCTAGACCGTTTTCGCCTCTCATTTTATGCATGACTGATACTTGCTATAGAATATTTTATGTAATACTGAAGAAAGATTTTGTGACTTTTATTTGTGGACATAACCACCACCATTACCACCACCACAGCACTTTTGAGTGTGTATACTGAGATAGAAAAAAACTTGTGAAGACCAGCTTTATGCTATTTTGTTACTCAAGAATTGAAGAAGAACACTAAGTTGTAAATTCATTAGATAGCTTTTTTTTGTTGTAAATTCTACATTTTTAATTATCTTGTTATTATCATTTAGATATAACTTAAACAGTACTAAAGTCTTGGGATATTTTTAATTGTTTTGGTATAAATTAAAGAGTATAGAAGTCGTGAAGTAGGAACTGAATTCCATGAAGGTTAAAGCAGTAAGGGGAGGTCAGGACAAGTTATGAGTGACAGTAATCTGGCTTCTAAACCATGTCTAGCCACAAGTAGATGTATTTTTTAAATTAAAAATTGCCCAGATTTTAAGCTTGTGTTTTTAGAACCGCATGCTCACAGTTCTTCTCAGTGAAAACAAATGATGGACTCCTGTGAGCATACACAAACATGTATGTGCACTTGACACATATTTATAAATGTTTATACATATACTCATGTATACAGAGTGGATCAGTACGTTTACAATTACCCTGATACTTATGTGAGTGTTTATACTCTCATTCTCCAAAGTACTCATGACTAATCAATGCTCGTACAAGTGCAGTTTGGTTGGCCAAAAAAAATCACAAACGTCGAACGTCGAGTATGTTGTAAAGTGGTTCTTTTCTCTCATTTGAACTGTAGTGGAAAGTGAAGTTCAAAACAGATGTGAATGCCTAACATAAAAATAAGTATTTATAAAAATAACACCATTACTGATAATGAATATCCAATCGTTGGCACTCTTGTGGGCCAGTCCTGTCCAGATGCACATTTTATGCATGTGTGAATTTTGTTACTGCCTTAATGAAACCGGCAGTTGTTATTCAGTTATAGTGTAAGTCGTTCATCACAGTCATTTTACTGATACTTTATGTTATGTTTGGTACCTTGTTTTGGTTTATAGGGTTTTCTGATTTTGCAAGTTTTTGTTTTCTCTAATTGCATGTAGTTTCTTATGCTAGTCGTTCATGACCATAGATTTTTGCAACTGTACTGTTTCTGTTAGCATGTGTTGCTTAGTTCTGATGGTGCACCTGCTCAGATTTGACAAGAACAGCATTTTTAACAGCATCATGTGTAACTTTGTGGTACTGGTTCATGAGTTCAGATTTTGTGGGAGTAGTAGGCATATTTGGAATAGTATGTATTGCTCTGTGCTGGTGAATCAAGCTCTCGTATTAATATTATGCAAGAAAATTATTTCTAAAAGCTTGCGTTACTTTGCACGTCTGTTCCAGGAACCCAGCGTCAGGGCATGAGTGCGGCCGCGGAAGTAACGTCCTCCTCCTCCACCCCACCGCCGCGAGGGGAAGCCACTCCGGCGCCTCCCACCAACACCCGCCTCATCCTCTCCGGTGGGGAAGGCTACGTCGATTTCCGAATGGGTGAGTGGTAACAAGTACAGGGTTGTGCCTGGGTAGATAGGCGGGTCTTGTTTCGAAGACAGGGCGCGTGTTTAAGGAGAGTAAAAGTGCTGTTCCTGGGGATGATCTAGGATTGAGTAACCCTTTAGAATCTCGTGGACAGAGTGGAAACAAATATGTGTGTGGCTGAAGAAAGGTACCAAAAAGTTGCCACAGAGCATTTGGAGCTACAGGCTGATAATGACCAAAAATCACTTTTTTGAACGAATAATTTGGAGTCCAGGGTATTTTCTAAAGAGATAATGAAAACTGCTTTTAGAATGTGTTAAAGTCTATTCTTGAAGCATGTTTTCTCATCTCTGCTATGTTTTACCATTTTTACCCAGGGGCTCGGTCATTTTGTACCCCAGGGGCTCGGTCATTTTGTACCCCAGGGGCTCGGTCATTTTGTACCCCAGGGGCTGTATTCTTCACATTTTAGAAAACTTCTAGTGCGAAGATCTCTTTGAAACTTTCAGTATTTCTCCAAAAAAATCATTTGGGCTTACTGCTATGCAAAGCATACTGATTGGATTAACGAGTCTTGGAAAATGAGGGCACCGAGTTCCCCATATCGTATGGATACGACAGTAAAACATGACGTACGGATAGGATTAAGCTAAACTGAAACATGGTAATTTTGTGATTAAATCAGACAAGATGACTAACAACCCTGCCCCTTTCCCTCACCCCAGACATGTTGACAGGTACCAGACCAAGAAATGTTGAGAAGAGAAAAAACAACTTGTTTCGCACGCTCATATGACCTTATGTAGTTGCGAGCGCCGTAGAACCCCATAATAAACTAAAACGACATATTGTTCAACAGGTGACGGAGACGACGACGACCCCACGGTTGTCCAGCAGGTCACCAACGACGATGATGACGAAGACCCCAATAAGCCGGGCAGTTCGCTGACAAAGGTGGACCGCAGCCACATCATCGTCTGGCAGGTCACGGCCCAGGACTGACCACCGCGGTTGTCCGGCCAGCGACCTCCAGCGTCGGGTCTGAGCTGCCACATCGTCACGTCGGGAGCAGATTGCTCGGCTCAGCAGAGATAATGCACAGTTCACCAGCGGATGCGTTTTTGGTTTTTCGGCTTGTTGTAACCTTGTACATCAGCAGGCCTACATCATTAAAATAATGAAGATATAACAGAAAAGTTACTAAAATTAATTAACAGAATACATGTAGTTCTAGAAACAACACTTGTGAACTGAGGCCATACAGGAGTTTATTCACTCCTGGCTTTCCGTTTTCTCTGGAAACGTGACCCTCCTAATGTCGACAGCCGATTAAATTTCCATAATTTGAGTCCCTGTTTTCTTTCGTTTACCCTATATATATATTTTTTTTAGATCGCCATGTTAATGGCCTTTTTCTTGCTTGGTTTGCCAGTTCTCAAGCTTTTTTTTTATGCAACATAGTGAAATCATAGAGTTTCCTCTGAAACAGGAATCTATTCGTTAGCGACACTTGGAGGGTTACGATGAATGAGTTGAGAGATCTGTCCATGACAGTGATGATATCTGGCATCAGCCGCAGCTGGCTGGGACGTCTGGTGTCGTGTCGCACCTCGCAAACAGAGATCAGAATGTTTTGAAATGACCGATGGAAGGTTCTTTTGTATCACTGGAAATGTCTTATTTGATAGGTCACACTATCTTTTTTGATAAGCCTCACCATTTACATCACATGGAATTTTTGTCGTACTAACATACACCTGGATGTTCTGTGATAAGCAGGGTCCTGTCGGAGCTGGTGAAAAAAAAAGAATGTTTTGAAAACTGACAGACATTCTTTCACATTGATAAATTGGGTCTTCCACTAAGGAAGCAATGTCTATTTTGAAATGGAAACACTTTATTGTGAGACTCTTGGTGTTTTATTATTGCGTAAATGAGTGGAAGATAACCATCGAATGTCAATTCCGAATTCGATAATGTGGGTCCCGTCTTTTTAGCTGATTTTAAAGAATTTTCACTGTCATTTCTTTTCTTTTTTTATGTCTTGTTTGGAGGTGTGGAACGACGTTATTTCAGAATCCTAGCAACAGCTGCCAGTAAAACCGCTCGGAACTGACACTGGGGTATACTTTCTTCTCGAAACACGAGTGAATTATATTGTGATTGCTTCTCGGTGTGTCTGTCAGTTATCTGCCTTGGTGCTCGTCTGCGTTGTTGTGGCGTGGTGCAAGTTCAAGGTCTTTTCACAAAAAGCTGTGTGGTTGTTTTTTTAATCTGCTGTTTTTAGACATTCACTACAATACGAAAAGAAAAGAAGAAAAAAAAAATTTTTTTTTGCTGTGGCTGTGACATCACCAATTTTCTTTGGTCTGATGGATGTTGGCTTTGAGTATAGCAGTGTACGGTACAGCTTTTTATTTTGAAATCGAGAACTAAGGAAGAGCAAAACAGACTGCAACGAGATGGACGAAATCAAATGAAAAAGAGTGGCTTTAATTCTTAAAAATACCGTTTGCATGAGTATTATAATTTGTCATTGAAGGACAGGTGAAGCGTTCTGTAAGCGAATGATCCGGAATATTGGTCCGGTGATGAGTAGTATCTGTGTGTGCTCGCGCGCGCGTGTGTGTGTGTGTGGCTGACTGCTTGTTGGAGCCGGGGCGCCACCGGTCGTGTACTTATATGGGGTCGCCTCGTTGTCTGGACGGACCTGTGTCTTTTCTTTCTTCTAATGGTTTGCTATTATTGTTCTAATTATTACATTTAAATGACAATAAAATAATTATGAATATTTGTACGGTACTATTATCATTATTGCCATTTCTCACCCTCCCCCCCACCTCCCCCAACCCCTTGCCCCGTGCTTGTAATCAGATGTGGTATGGGCGCCGGTCTTCTACAATGATGAGATTTGTAACTGAAGTAACTGTGAAAGCTGAGATGGAAATAAAAGTACATGCGGTAAAATGTATGTGATGTAGACGTTGAGTGTACGTAAGCATAATGTTCGGCCCTGGGGCTCCCACTACGAGCTTGCCATAGCTTTGGGTTTTTTAAAAACATACAAAAGTCCCTTCCGGTCCCTTCCGACGAAGTGTTCTCATTTTCACTGTATAAAAGGCATTTTCATTTTCTCGCCGTTTTTGTCGTGGGTTTGTGTTTGGGTTTTTTTTCCGCCGTCACAACTAACTGGACGCAAGTTGTTTCTGTGTAACTGTAGAGTGTGGATTCAATAGCGCTGTGTTTTTTTAATATTGAGTGATAGCTTGCTTTCCTTACTTAGATTTGTTGTCGTGGCGCGATGGTCTAGTCTCTTTCTGTATCAGCCTAGCAACCTGTGCCCTCCCCACCCCCCACCCCCCACTTTGTACATGGCTTTTCCTTCCCCCATTACATCGGTGTCATTCTCTAAACATGCAAGTGTGTCAAAAGAAATTCTTCAGTGGAGACAAAGAACCAATGTTCACTGCACACAGATTCCGAGCCTTTTCTAATTTTTTTTAATTGTTCAGCAGACAACATGATAAAAGACACTTTTTCTGTTTGTCAATACTACATTATCTTTATGTAGAGAATCAGGAACCCTCTTTGTGAATACGACGAACAAAGAAATCCAGGGAAAAAAATTTGGACTTGCGCATTTCGAGAATTTACTCACACGATGACCACTTTTACCTCAGTGCTGGCTGTAAATGATTATATGTTCAGTTCTAGGAGTGTGATTCTGGGCATTATTGTTGTTGTTGTTGTCGCTGACACAGGCTGGGTGTTCGATAAAGCTGTGAATGTTTCCGTGTGGCTCCACGTTTATGGTTCAGGTCATGTCACAACCCTTGGGACGTTCTGTACCCTGAAAAGTGCAGGCGTGTGTCTCAGTCTCACCGTGTTGGTCCTGCAGGGAGTTGGATACATTACCCTACTTCAGCTGCTAAAGCTCGTCTTTTTTTACTTCTACCATAGGTTGCCACTAATCTGACTCGGGTTCTTCTTGGACTTGGAAATGAGAGTAAAGCTTCCACCTATTATTTACCTCAGGCTCACTTTCTCTCTCTCTCTCTCTCTCTCTCGCGTCTCTCACTCACTTTCTCTCTCTCTCTCTCTCTCTCTCTCTCTCTCTCTCCCTCCCCCACTATCGATGACTCACTATCTCTTTGTCTTTTCACCAGTTTGTTAATTTAATCAATCGACGATCGTCGGAGCGCAGAAGACCCGAGTTCGATTCCTGAGAGTGGAATATCTCCATCCGTCTGTCTGCTATGATGGTATAACCACTCAGCTCGGGTTGGTCTTAATAGTCAGGGTCAAAGCAGCCCACCTCCTAATTGATGTAAATTGTGTCAATGGGGTCATAAGATATTGCTTTTATAAAATAAACCGTGTGGAAATCCCAGAGGACCTTCTGTTCTTCTGAGAGGACAACTTCCTTCTTCGAGACGATTGGCGTCATATTTCCAGCGATGGAAAATAGAAAAAGATAGGAGGTTTTGGGGGGTGGGGGGGGGGGGCAATTTCAGGGTCCTTTAAAGCATATGTGCCCTTTCGAACGCGAAAATACTTTCCTAGTGAAGAGAATTGAATAAGTGTTTGAATGGAAAGATTGCCTGCTGTACCGTCGTTTTGCCTGCTTGGCCAACGCACTGAGATTCCGTTTTGTGTCTTACAAGGATCCAAATTTCCGGGCCTGCCACTGAATTTGTCCTATTTTCCCTCTCAGCCCTTTGCCCTGACGGGAGAATGAACGTTCCACTTTAGAAACAAACTTAAGTGTGTTCAGTAGGACTATTCTCTTTGCCTTAAAAAAACCCCAGCAACAACCAGAAAACAAAGTTGGAAAATCTAGCGAGGTGGCTTGTTCCACTTTAGACACAACCTTTAGTGTGTTCGGTTGGGCAGTATTCTATGTCTGTGAAAAGAAACCCCCCAAAATATTTGAGAAGCTTGTATTTTCACTTGTATTCAAAAAGCTGTTGCTATTTCCGTGGACAGAGTTCACATTGTTGAAACCTCGGTCTTCTCTGAGTAATGACGTTTTCTGTTGGACTGATGTCTCTGTTTTGCCCAGCCCGAAAATCCCATTCCACCTTCTGTTCTTTCCCGAATTTCCCCCCGCTTTTCTTTTTTCTTTCTTTTCCTGTTAATTTTTTCTTTTTTCGAGAAGGCCCGCGGCCTTTGAAACTGGAGAAATGATACCTCGCGTCTTTGATGAGTAGCCTGAAGCCGGGCATTTCATTATCGAAATGTCATATTCTCCTCAACAGAACTTATCGAATTTCTCTGCGAAATCTGCCTCTGAAGCAAAGCACCCCGCCAGATTTTTCAAGTTTGTTTTCTTTTCTTTTTATTGCGTCTTCTCCGTATTGTTACATTTTGATTTTGATGAAGTGACAGTGGGATGTCTTTGCAGAGCTGCGCGTGTCTGTGTATCTCCCTTTGTTTGCCTAGCTGTAGGACGTACAGTTTCCTCCGCGTGTTCTGCATGCCTGTTCGTAATTATGGCGAAGGATCGAAAAAGTGGCGTAGTTGAATCATCCTCATTATTGGAAAAGATTTTTAGAAGGGGTGGGGGGCAAGGTGGTATCTGTTTGGGGTTTGGCCATGTTTGTTTGACCCGGCTTTTTTATATTTTAAATGTTATTTGAATTGTTGTTTTTACTATTATTATTTTTAAGAGGTTATTTTCACTCCAATTTATTCAGCACTGAGAATTCACTGGGATGCTATGAGGATCATATTTTGTAAAAGACGGCTCCGGCCTTACGTGGTGCCGTTGGGGCTAACTTGATCTGGCATATTATGGAGGTTCATGGTTTGAATCTTAGCAGGGAAATGAGTCATACATGTATTCGTCGTCCCTGCATTATTTAAAAAAATATTTTGTCTCTCTCAGTCAGATGTCTTGACAGGACATCGTTTGTTTCTTTGTTTGAATAAAAGGAAGCAGATGGACACGATAGCGGTCATTGGGTGCTGGGGAAAAAGCAAGAAAGACAAAACAGAACCAACAGTGGGGGGGG